GTCGCGCCCGGTGCCCAGGCGCCCCCCGGCCCGCGAGGGATGCCGCCGCCGCCGCCCCCAGCCGGCCTGCCCCAGATCATCCAGAAGTAAGAGCGGGCGAGGGGAGCGGGCGGGGTGCGCTTGGGACACGCCCCAGGCGCCCCCTTTGTGGCTTCATCTCGTGTCCGCTAAACTGCGTTTAAAGTTTTCCTCCCTGTCTCTGGGCAGTCGGAGCCCTCCGGTTGTTGGTGCCCTCTGGTTGTTGGTGCCGCTGGGGAGCGGAGAGCCAAGTTATTGGGCGAAATGATTTGTTTCTCCTTAGCCCCTTCCTTTTGCCGTTAGGGGTGCTACTTGGATATTTTCCACTACAATAGCTCGGATGTGGGGGGAAGTGGCCCAGAGATCTTTTTCATCTCTCTGGTCCCCAGAGGCCCCTGGCGTGTATGGGGAGCCGAGCGTGAGTATGCGCCAGCGTGAGGGTGTCTAAGTAAAGGCCACCGTGAGACATCACCCTTAACAGTGCGCTGGAATCAACTAGCAACTTTGGGGTGGAAAAAGAAACGAGGGCTTGTGCGGAACATGTTTGGCTTTGCCCTTAAGTGTAGACACTTTTTAAGGAGGCCCTTGTGAAGAGGTCTCAGCGGCGCAACCCTTTTCACTAAGGTTACCATCTTGTGAGTCTGCTGAACGCTCGAATAGGGTCGTGAATTCTCACTCTTATTCAAAGTGTGAGTAGTGTGGGCGGCCAGTAGGCCCCTGAAGCCCTTTCCACCCATGTGGGGGACGGAAAAGCAAAACGGTGATGTTTTGTTTTCTTCGTTCCTATCAGTTTTTGACAGTTTGAGGCCTAGAATGTTGGTTTATTTGGAGGACCTTTTTGCTTCTGATGGTTTCATCAGCTTGTGACGAAGTCTGCCATACTAGTTTAAGAAGTGTAGGGAAGAAAGTATATAATGAGCTTGTCAGCAAAACTAACCGAAACTAGAGGATATACACGTAAGTTCAGCGAGATTTGGCTGTGGGACAGAGTATCCTAAACGCTGCGGTATTGATGTTGGGGTTATGTAAATTTATTAAAATGTCCTAAGAGAAATCGTCAGCCAGGGGGTGTACGTGGAAGTAACTAGCGGTTAAATATTTATGGTTTTATAAACTTAGGTAGTGGAAAGAGGGAAAATTCAAGTTTGACACCAATAACGCTGGTTTCATATTTCAGAACAAAATGGTTTCCTATTTATTGAGTAGTGGAATATCAAAGGTCTCTATTTTTAAAACTTTCATAGTGTATATAGCTTTCAACTACTAACAGTTTTGATTTAAAAATGCAGTACTTCATATTACTTTTTCCTGTTTTGCAAATTATTTTGGATCATACTAAATAGGAATGACAGTGTATGTAACTCATTATTTGAAATTTCTCTTTAGTGTTTAACACAAATAGAAATGAACAGAGAAAAACTATTTCAAATCTAGAGATTACTCACTAGAAAATCCAATTAGACCAGTTGTTAACTCAGAGATATCTGATGTGTATCTCGCTGAGCCAGTGTCTTATGCCTTAAAATTAAACTGCATATTAAGCTTACCAGCACTGCTCTCGTATCAGAATCACTACCTTTTTCTATAATTTATTTTTAAGTGAAGGAAAGTAAAAACTTTATGTTCACAGAAAAATCTTTGTAGATGAATGTCTGGTTATGAAGACTTGCCAGGTAGAAATAAATAATTTTGTGGAAATGGATTATTTAAGATATATTTTAATTACCTCATATACTTAATAAATTATGCTCTAAATTTACACCCCCTCATTTTGAAACTTCCATCTCTGGGATATCTGATTTTAAAAGGTTGGGCCACGCTTTTCAAAGATGGCCCCTTCTGCTTGCGATGCAGGATGGGGATCTCAAGAAGCACTGAATGGCTCTGTCTTGTTTTGCATTGGTGACAGATCCAGAGTTCAAGGACCAGGTCCAAGGCTGTAAATGTGCCTGCGGGATTTGATGTTTAAGCGCTTAGGTTTCAGAGTCTTTATAAGGATGAGTTGGGGTTTGTGCTCCCCTCAGTCTCTACTGATAGTCTGCTGGAACAAGGCGCAACATGGCAAGCGCTTTGCAGGTCCGTCTTTAATATGCTGAAACCCGAGTAGGTTATTTTGAAACTACGTTTGCATAATTTAATCCGAGCGACCATTTCTATGGAGTTAGGAGGAGCTGTTAGCTCCAGCCATCTTCGAGAAAAAGTAGCGGGAAGATTGTCCTCGGCTGCAAGATGAATGTCCACCTTGGCATTTGGAGACTTTCGTGAGCTCAGGTTTTGGGCGAAATTTTCTTCTTGTGCAACACATATTAGATATTATTAGGAGACCTCTAGTTTTTCTAGTTATTTCAGCGAGGTCATTATATAACTGGTAAGAGGAAAAGTTCTCATCTCTTTCAAAATGAGGGACATAGCAATCTTCATGTTGCATAGTGCTTAAGGATTGAAGAATCTTTACTTCTTTGGGTCTATGGTTACTGAATTTTATTAATAATGGCTTTGGGCGAAATCAATTACTTATGCAAAACCGCTAGCGATTGTAATAAAACGGAGTTCTGTTCACATGCTTTCGAGTTGGTCGTAAGAGGACAGCGATAGTTAGGCAGCTAAACATGTGAGGTGTGGCCGTCAGCAGTGAGACTGACTTGCGTGTTGGAAGTCAGTCTCAACACTTAAAAAGACTGCATCTAAAGTTAGTTCCTGTGGAGTACTTTTGTTCTAATCAGGGATAGTTTCCTTATCATTATATTCTTAGCTTCAGTTAAGAACTATCCACGCCATTTCTGCCCCTGTGTACCCTTGACCCCTGTAATATAAGTAATACCTGTAGACTATCAACCAGGTTATAGGTGAATGTAACAAATATTTTGTGATATTTTGTTTAAATGTGTCAATGTGGAGATATTATTGTATCTCCTGAAACACATTACTTAAATTGTTTGGGCAACAAAAAATATAAATAGCACCTCAAGAAGGCATTTGGGATAAGGTTAGGAAATCAGAAAAATTTCAGAATATATATGTGTGCGTGTGTGTGTGTGTGTGTATATATACATATACATATATATATATATACATATATATATATAATTTTTCCCATACTAGCAGAGGTAAGAAAACATTGGTGTTGTTAGTGAGTGCCTTATAGTTATTTATCTCCTCAAACATTCATATTTTACTTCTAAAATTGTTTGGTTTTAATTATGTGCTTTAAAAAATCTCATCTAACCCTTGATTTATAAGAAATTTTTATTAACTTTAATGAACATCAAACAATCAAATTTTAGATTACAAGTTTTAAAACTCTCACCAGAGTGAAAATAGTCACTTGATTCTGAGTGAAATGCCGAACTCAGCCTGTCAGATGGGACTACAAAGTGTGTTACTAATCATGGTGAAAATTAACCAAATACACATACCTTCTATGAAGTGAATCACACAGTGATTTTCCTAAATTATTCAATTAGCAGCAAGATATTCCTGACTAATGCATGCCATCAGGTTGTACATTTGGGTATACATGACTTATTTTTTTCCTTTCCAGATGATTTTTATGACCAAACAAAACCAATTATAAAAATAGAAGAAATTTTAGTTTAGTATTTGCTAGCTAGTGTCACATGCATGGAATTGTTGGTGGTTTATGAGTCATAAATCCAGTTTTGATTTCTAGTTTATAGTCTTGTGCATGACATTAGGACTATGGCTCTCCCTGAGGAGTAAGTACTCCCCTGACTCAGAATAGAAAATGTTCTGAATAGTAACTCTGCAGATAATTTTACAGACATTGTGCACTTGGCGGAGTCTCCATTTAACCGTTAGAGTGTGCTCTGCAGGCGAGTTGTATGTGATGTCCACCCGCTTTGATGTATGTGCTGATGATTATATCCAGAATCGGGGGAGGAAATATGAATTTTCTAAAAGGGGGCATTGCCTCACAGTCATATTTGGCCCCTTTCTGGAAAGAGGATGGAATGTCTAATGTCAGAGCCAGTTCTAACATCAGGTTTAGCCCGGCTTGTAGGAGAACTCGGAATACACTTGTTGACGGAATTTTGAAAATTTTAAGCAGCACCTTACACTACGTGCAAGACAAGCGTTCGGCAGGGAACACATTTGAGATGATTGAGCATTTACCCAAACAGAGGGAGAGAGGGTGACCTCTTAACATTCTGAAAAGTGTCTTTGCTTCTCTAGAAAGTTTCTTAAAGGTACTTTCTTTTTTTTTAAAGAAAATTTTACTGGGGAGTTTTGTCGTAATAAGTATTTTTAGGTCTAACCTTGTAGTTATGAGTTTTCTCAAATGGCCCAAGAGATCAGTATTATGAAATGTAGTACATTATTCCCATTAGTCACAGCGAGCGACTGCATATGGTGCACAGAGCGGCTCGAA